GTAAAATTAAGTCCTCGCTTTTCTTATTCTTACTCCTATTATTATTATTTATAATAAGCGAAGCAAAAGTATGGATTTGATTTTGTCAACGTTGGTTTCTGAGATTCCAACTATGTCGCCAAATAAAAAATTAATTTCATATATTATCTAAATAAATAAATATGAATATTATATCTTTATCCAATGATTATTTCACCCGTATTTTATAGCACATTATAATTAATGAACCGACTTGTACGTTGGTTTGCTTGCAAGTGCAAACAAAGATATTCTCCATGGTTTTTAATACAAGCATGCATGCACCATATATAAATTATATTATATTATCATCTAACAAAAACAATAAGTTATCACGTAATTGTAATTTAGAGTAGGGATGACAATGGGTGGGTTTGGGGCAAGTTTTACAATACCCAGATTTAGGCCTCAACTAAAAATTAGACTCAGACCAAGATCCAAATTCATGCGAGTTTAGAATTGAATCTATCTCTTGACTCTATTAATATCTATTTACCTAAATTTAAATCCATGAATTCAGGCTTATAAATAATTTTTATAATTTAAAACTTGTAAATATTCAAAATAAATAAAATAACTCCACAAAATTCATTATAGAAACACGAAAATCTAACATAATATATTAGTATTACGAATATTAAATATTAAAAATTACAATATTGTATTAGTATTACGAATATTAAATATTAAAAATTACAATATTGTACTATCCAGCCCAAACCCAGATTTGCCCAAATGCCCATTTAATTGTTTACACTCAGACTTGGATCACTTTAATAATATTCAAACCTAGATCTATCTAGGCAATTTTCCCAACTACCCATTAGATCTTGGGCCAATTATCATCCCTAATTAAGATTTAATTAAGGACCAAATTGCCCTCTTTTCTTTTATTTTTTCCTAAAGAAAAATTACCCAATGGTGCCTCCAAGTCAAATTGTACAATAATTGCGACAAAATTATTTTGTTTTGGCTCCTTGGACAATTTAAGTCTTGGACAATAGTTGACAAAGGAGATATCATCTTTCAGAAATACAAATATTGAGCTCTTCTTCTTTTTTTTTTTTTCCTATAAATTTCAAAATGGTAGATACATAGCCCCTTCATTGCAATTATTTTTTCAAATTTTGGGTTTTTCCCAAGTGAAGGAAAATAAAGCGTAGTGGAAAAAATGGGTGAAAGAAGTGAGTCTCCTTTTCTTTTTCCTTGGTTCAATTAATCAGCAAAATAAGAAGAAAATGAGAGTTTTGCTACTTGGTTTTCCAAGAAATGAAAATGCACTACTTCTTGAATCGTTGATTTCTTGATTTATCTTGTGATTCTTTGCAGCCTTCTTCGGGGATGAACAAATATATATAAACAACTCAAATTCAAATTTTAAGACGAATAAGGACCACAAATACAATCATTTAATAAAATAGATAATTATTTATTTATTGGGTAGGTAGATATCTAGGCAGGAAGTTTAAATTAAATTGAGTTGTTCCGCATGATAAAATTAATATAGATATTTAATTTTCAAATTAATTCCATAGGCTTATTTTATAATTGTGGTCATTAATCAAGTGCAAACTATTTAAAGGAAGATGCCTTGTGTATTAAGTTTCAAATTCATAGAAAAAACGGGGTTGACATTCCTTTTATCGTCATATTTTTAATTTAATAGGACAGCAAGGAAACAGATTTATTTATTTATTTTGTTTTTTAAGAGGAAATTGGAGTTTAATTTCGATAAATTTACCCAATTTTAATCTCTATTACCGTTCTCATTTGCTAAGTATTGCACTCTTGTATATGATCGAATAATGATTAGCCGTTTGTTCACTTGATTAAGTTACGGATTAAGCAAAATAACAATCTCCGTAATGCTAATTAAGTAAGAAATTAATCACAATGATCATCACAAGGTATGCCTTTTATGTTAGTCTAATAATTTTATACCCATAATTTTGCACCTTGGCTTTGGATTCGTACATTCTCTTCGAAGCCAATAGGTTGATGAGAAAGTAAACGTTGATTAAGATTCCTCAAGTTTGCCATAATTTTTAGCCATGATTAAAATGTGAATGCTCAAGAAATATAGAATTTAATTAGTAATCTTGTTGAACATTTCTCTGATATATATGCAATTTTTATTTAACAAAAATAATTCTACCTCCAATTTTTAATTTCAAGCAAGATTTTTAATTTAATTAAGAAAGCTAAATTGGTAGTTGGGTATTGGGAACTCATATAGTATTGCATAGACTTAGATTATGAAAGGGAAAAACTTGAAAGAATCAGGAACAAGCACAAAGATTTGAAGGAGATTTTGTTTAGTATCAAAGACAATTTTGGATTGCTTAAGTAGTTAATCAATAAAAGTATCATTCTTTGGTTGTATTTAAGTTTTCAATTGGTTGAATTTTAATCTGAATCCGATCTAAATTCTATTCGAGTTTTAGAATTCGAATTCAAATTAAAATATTTAATAGATTTGTTCTAATAATAAACATTCGAAATCTAAAATAAGTGAATTGAATATGAAATTAGATAATCCGATTTGTTAAAAATCTGAATTTGAATTTCAATAATTTTTTATTAAATTAATAATTATATATATAATATTAATAAATTTAATATTGTAGGGACCAAGTTGGAAAAATCAAAAAATTAAGGAACCAATATGATTAATGAAATACAGTTGAGAGATTTAAATGTAAAATAATATTATTTTCTTATTGGATCAAATTTTCTTGTCGAATTTCAGAGTATCCATTAGATTCAAATATAGTTTAACAGACACAAATCCTATAAGATCTTGAATCGGATTTGGTTGCAAAAATGAATAATCGGTTTCAGATTTATATTTGTCTAATTTAATCCAAATTCGATCAGTTTATAGCCCTAATTGTATTAGTTTTCATATAAGTATAATTCAATATGGTTGTACAGGCAGGGAGAGGTTTGATAAAGAATATTTGGAAATTTGAAGTACCCAAAAGTAATTACTTATGACTAGAGTCTAGAGCAAAAAGACAAAGGAAGAAAATAAAGAAAGACAACGAGGGTTGCTCTTTTTCAATCAGAGGCAGTCATAAAAAATTCGTTCCTGAAAAATAGTACAATGATGTTTATTAATTATGTACATGTTGTTCTTTTCTAAGTGTTCTTTGCTTACAAGTCTAAACAGCTTTAGAATCAAAGATGTCATAACTTCTAGTTACAAGCTACAGTTATCTTAATTTTTAGTCTTTTAAACTTAAAAACAGAATAAATAAACATTAAAAAAATCAGATAGTGATTAAACAAGTACAGAGAGAAGTATTCAGCTCATGCTTACCGCATTGGGTGTCAATAAGTCACCATTTCCATTTCTATTTGCAGCAGCAAAAAAGACAGTGATATAGTCCAAAGTACCCAAGTAAACAAGTGGTACAGGCTAGACTGAGAGCATATGCAACTCTATTATTGGAAATGTTTCTAGCTGTTTGGGTTTTGGTTATAGGATATAATAAGGAGGTCTACAAAATGGCAGCAATATTGCTGCTGAAATCAGCCAATGAATTCAAAATGGTGATCCATACATCTATATTTGCATGAATATTTGTATTTACAAATTTTTTAACTCTGTCCTCTTCTGATTTTGAGCCTGCCTGCTGACACCATGCGAGATTCCCAATTGGTTAGACCTTTGCGGTCCAATCTAAAAAGTAGTAAAAATTCTCTGAAGGGGACAGCCTAATACAAAAATGTTAGTTTCACATCCAAGTCAATCACTAGAGTAAAGGGCAGAATTGGCATTTTGAGAGTCTTCGAGGAGAAAGAAGACAAATTATTCTTTGATAATTGTTAATTCTCGGAAGGAAGCGTATAATACAACTAACCCTTTTCTTTAAATTCCATTGCACAAGGGCTGCTCTTCATTAACCTCATCTCTATCATCGTCTTCTTCATCTCTCAGTGTCTCTGTGAAAGCCCATCAAGTGTCCTATTATTTGGTAGACATTTCTTCTTATCCTCTTGAAACATCTTAAAGCAAAAATGGGGAGCAAGAAAATTGAAAAGCCAAGGCAAAAGCACAAGAAGGGCTTGTGGTCGCCAGACGAAGATCAAAGGCTAAGAGATTACATCCTCAAGCATGCCTTGGCAGCTGGAGTTCTGTTCCTATCAATGCCGGTGAGTTCTTGAACACACTTCCATTAGTTTCACAAGTCTACAAAATTTCTGGCATGGATGGAGGTTCATGCATCATTTCTGCACAGGATAGAACTGTTTCAAATTCATACGCTTCATGTTAAGAATCATCAATTGGGGAGTGCTCTTCTTTATTCTCATGAAACTGCAGCTTAGGTGGTTGAAGAGGATAACAATAGTGGGTGGCAGGCAATCTATGGGCTCTCTTCTTTCTTTTTTCCATTTTTTTTTTGTTGGTTTAAAGAAAATATATATCCATTTTCTTTTCCTTCTTTTTTTAAGCTTCCTTTGTCTCGAGCAATTAGGAGTCAACCTTGATTCACCACCAACGAGGGAGTAAAACATACATTATGTGGTAAAATTTTGAACTGTTCAATTGGATATGGTCCCCCATGACCTGTTAATTTTAGTGCTACATTTTCTATTGATAAAAAAGCACCTGTAGTTGACTTTGGTGACTTTTTGCATGGGTGTGCAGGGCTGCAAAGGAATGGCAAAAGCTGCAGGTTGAGGTGGATTAATTACTTGAGGCCTGGTCTAAAGAGAGGGATGTTTCACTCCCCAAGAAGAGGATGCTATTCTCACTCTTCATAGCATGTTAGGCAACAAGTAAGCATTCTGTTATAGGCCTAACACAAGAGTAGGTGTAGAACAAATATTTATTTCCTCAAAACTTTATGAGTCACTATATGTGCTTCAATTACTGGCGAAAGACCTAACTGCTTCATCTAATCCTCATATTGTATTAGAGTGGATAACGTTTTAGGCGTGAAAGATTACAAGGAACTTTAAATGTTTAATAGTAAATGGTTATAGAGAAATTAAGTGTCTTGGCTTATTCATATGCTTCTCCATTGGTCAGGTGGTCTCAGATAGCCCAGCACTTGCCAGGAAGAACTGATAACGAGATTAAGAACCACTGGCACTCTTACCTCAAGAAGAAAGTGGCTAAAGAGGGACAATCTCAAGCTCAAAATGAGTATCCGAGTCCAAACACAGATATCACAGAATCCTCACTCTCTTCCCTCAAGTCCTTTGAATCGTTTGAACCAACAGAAGGAACACAAATCTCTGGTGCTCCGGGAGAGGCTCCGCAGAGCAACTTGCCAAAGCTTCTCTTCGCGGAGTGGCTCTCACTAGACCAATTCCAAGGCCAGTGCTCTGGAAATTACGGTGAATCAGCCGAAGTTTCTAAAGATGCTCACTGTGACCTCAATTCTAGCTTCCTAGACCCTTTATCCTATGGCTTGTTACTGAACGAGGGGTTGTTTGGTGGCGACTTAACCGGTGACTCTGCTTTCGAAATGTTTTATCCGCAGTTCAGATCGGATAATCGGTTTTCTGAAAATGGTTTTGTTAGTTTTATGGCCGAAGAGGATATGTGCAGCCAGCTTAATGTAAATGATGTCATGTACGTATGAGGTGTTTCGGGAAAGAAGTTAAAGAGAATAATATGTATTGTTCCAACCATATTGACGAAGCTGACGGTGAAATAAATTACATTATTTTGTGGAATTTACACTAGTTACAGGATTTATTACTTTCAACAAGACAGCCTAATTAATGGCTCAAATATCTAAGGCATGATAATGCAAAATTGGGTGAGTATAAACCCATTAAATTTAAGAGTCCTGTGATGAGTAGGATTGCTTAGTATTATAAATGAGATGTTAGGCCCTGCTCTTTCTATTAATGGATGTTGCAGTTACCCATCAAAGTACTACTATTAGACTAGAGAAGAAGTCACCGTGTATGGGATTGGAGCAACATTATGAGAAGGTATATCGTAGTGTATGAATTTGGTTTCTCATTTACATCTATTATTGAAAAATCTATGGTGAAAAATGGCGTTGTTGAAAAAAGTTATTTGCATGTTAGAGTTTGAATTAACAGTTACAGCTCAATGTAAATTGATAGCCATTATTAACATCCAAACTGTTGCTCGAAAAGTCAGGAAGGAAAGAAGTAGAGGCCGTTGATATAGACTTCTTGTTAACAACTAATTCAGTCAAATGCATTTTTTTTATTAGGAACCTTACACAGGAGAATATTAAACAGAGTTTGAAAAATAAAATAAACATAAATGTCTACATCAGAAGGGAAGAGATGTATTGAGGTTGGAGAAAATAAATAGCTAGATGAACAGGAATTCGAATCAAAATGTGGACAACGTATGTCTGGCCGACGCTGCCCTCTGATGTCGTCACAGAGGCTGATCTGGACTAGACAGTCTAAAGCACGCGCTTGCTGATGATCCCCTCGGAGTATACCTCAACTAGAGGATCTTGATTTCGTCGTCTCCTGTGATACCCCAGTTCTAGGGCTTTATTAAGAAAAATTATAAAAAAAAAAATTAGAGGGGTCAAATGAAAAGAAATAGGAATTAGGGGATCTAATTAAAAATCAAAGAGGCCAATTGAATTAATTTAAACTTTACAGATTCAAATGAAATAAATCAGAGAAAGCCAAAGATTAAATCATGTGCAATCAGGAATTGAGGAATCAAATTGAAAATATTAGAAAATCTGATATCCATCTTCTACTTCTAGATCTTTATAGCCATTGAGGGGAATTGTGATCGATCCAAAGCAAGACTCGCTCGATTATGACCATATTGAGGATCAAGTGAAGTATAACCAAATCAATTCAAACTATTGATAACTCAAATCGTCAAATTGAAGCCAAACTCAATCTCGAATCATCACGGTCGTGCGACGGAAATCTTGCCAAGTTTTGCCTTTCTTCAGCCAAATTACTACTACAAATCGATCACCTGTTAGTCGTCGACCTTGGATGTATCAACCTATTGGAGTATTTCTATGTAAGTTCATCAAATTTCTAGATTAAATCTTGAATCATGATTCTAGGTTGGGAACCTAGATGAGCTAATCAGGTCAGTGCATGATCTAGTTATCTAAACTAGATCTAGACTTGGGCTGGGAAATTGGGTGCTAGACTGCCAAACTAGACCGAGTTGGGTTGGTCTAGATTGGGCCAAGACAGTTGCGGACTGGGATGGGTTCTAGGTTTGGGCCATAGCATATTTTGGGTTAGGTCAAATCATATTGGATTAGGTTCTGGATCAAGTTAGTAGTATTGAGTTTGGGTTGTAATACTGGATTTGGTTTCTAAATCCAAAATTTTGAACTAGTTTAGTGAAGTATTAGCTGGTTTAGGGGGGTTAATAGTCAGTTCAATACTGGCTCATGACGTAATTATTTGAGTTAAGACTTAATTAACTGATTCAGAGCTTTGTAAGTGCCGATTTAGTGATTTATTGGACCATTTTAGTGTTTTAAAAACAAGTTTTATGCATAAATTGATCGGTTTAGTGCTTATATGGACCAGTTCAGTGTCTCAATAACCGATTTTGTGCTTAAATTAACTAGTTCAGTGTTTTATTAGTTGGTTTAATGCTTATTAGGACCTGCTTAGTGTGTTATATACCTAGTTCAATGTATTATATGTCTGATTCAATGTATTACATGTTTGGTTCAATGTGTTGTATGCTCGATTCAGTACATTAATAGCCAGTTCAGTGTGTTATATCTTTGGTTTAATGTTTTAATAGTTGGTTCAAGGCTAGTTCAGTGTGACAGAGGTCTGATTTAAGGCCGGTTTAGTACTTTAATAGATGATTTAAAGGTTAAATGAACTAAATTTACATTTTTAGAGACCAGTTCAAGACTTTAGTAAATTGTTCATGACTTTATTTGATTAATTTGAGACTCTAGTAGCTCTGATATAGGTTTTGGGCATGAAAACTTAGGTTTACACTTGGTTTTTAATTATGAATTTATGTTAACTAAATTCTTAAAAATATTAGAATCCTAAAATAGATATTTTTTTTTTATAATTTTAGATCCTTTATATATTTCTTGTGGAGCCCGTATCATCAAAAACTAGAGTACTTGAAATCCATCAGTCCTGTGAATAATAATATGCACTTATGAGTATTTACAATTTTTCATATTTATTATAAATCCTGATTTTACAAGATGCACTTAATTTTTAAAAATTAAATTAAATTTTGTTATAAATGTATAGCAAAGGATATGTATGCAATTTATTGATTTTATTTTGAGAAATTGTTTGATATTGCCTTTCCCGAAATTCTTTATATCTATAATTGGAAAACCTTTTTTTTTTAGACTATTTTTGTTTAATTCTAAAAAATTGTTTAAAAGGAGATTTGAATTATTAGAACACTATAACTAATGACAGTAGGCATTAGACTGAGTATATATTGGACTATATCTCCAGCTAGCAAAGGTGATGCTAGACTAGCATATTGGGCTGACATGATTGTACTCTATATCTATATATCAACAGATTAAGAAATTGCTAGAACTTCTGATTTTTGGTTCTATTACTTTATATATGACAAACTCCCTAAATTCTGGATAATTGTAAATTTATGTTTTTATGTAACGTTTTCTATTATAACTTATATACTTGTCTCTTATTCTCATAGATGCATACTATAATTTATTAGGTTTGTCAACTCATCCTTTATTGTTTTTCAAATTTGAAGTTTGACATTCTTTTGAATCTTGCTGCTTGAAAAGTGTCCACTATTTCTGTTATTTGTCTCATAATTATAAATATTAGTATTGTGCTGCTTTTTATTTCTGTTAGACTTGAGATTTTATTAAAAGAGTTTCATTGATTACAAACAAGTTTTTGGATATTATGTTGTCAAGTTATTAAGATATCAGCATGTCATAGTTCAGAATTTTATCTAAAACTTCTATTTAGTTGATTTTGAATTATAATACAAGTTATTTGATAAGTTTGCTAAGTTTCTAATCTTAGCGTTGGTCACAAATCTAACTCCTAGATCATGACTTCTCCAGTTGAGGCAAACATAGAAGTAAAGACAATCACCTCGTTCCCAATTCGATGTGCAACCTCGTTAAGGGGTATGGATCTGATGCCCTTGAAATGAAATAACAAAAGAGAAAAACAAGTATGATAGTGGTTGAAATAGTCAAATTTGGATTAAATTAGTCAAATCTAAATCTGATTAATCACTTCCATATCTGAATTTGATCTGAAATTTTATAGAATTTTTGTTTGTTGAACCATATTCAAATCTCATAAATAATTCAAAATCTGATAAGAAAATTTGATCTGACAAAAAAATAATGTTCTTTGATGTTTAAATCTTTCAACTCTATTACATCAATCATATTAATTTCTAAATTTTCTCAATTTAATCCCTACGAATTTGAATTTATTAATATTATTTAGGGTAAAAAAAATATTTCCCTCTATTCAGGTTTACTTAAATAGCACTCGGTCCTATTCTTATAATGATCATACACTTTCTCTTTTTGACTAATTGTTAACTAACAATTACTTAACGATTTTGTTAAAATATAGATGAGGATTACCCAATTTCAACTGTTTTAGTTATCCATTTGATTAAAAATTAAAATATTATTTAATTCACTTAAAAAAATATTTTTAAAAAATTTTTAAATTAAAAATTTTTAATAATAAAAACATTTAATTTTGATAAATTTTTTATTTTATGATATTTTATTTTTATTTAACTTTTTTTTAGTTTAAACTACACTCAACATTTTTTTAACTTGAATGACACTCAAAGATTCTTATTTCAATATTTAAATCAAACTAAAAAATAATAAAATAAAAATTAATTCAAAACTTAAAAATAATAGAATTAAATTATCAAAAGTTAGCTTTTTGATTATTTTAAAAATTACAAATAATAATTTTTTTAAGTAAATCAAATAATATTTAATTTTTAATGAGATGTGTAACCAAAGTATATAAAACTGGGTTAGTGTCACATGTTTTTTAATAAAATTATTAAGTAATAGTTAGTCAATAGTTAATCAAATAAGAAAAAATGGTTTTTTACTATAAGAATAATACTAAGTATTATTTAACTAAATTTAGAAGGAGATGTGTGTTTTTTACCCTATTATTTATATAAGATTATTAATTTAATAAAAATATTATTAAAATTAATTTTTAAACTCTTAACGAATCGAATTGCTTAGTATTATATCTGATTCGTTTATTTTAGATTACAAATATTTATAATTAAATATAATTTATTGAATATTTTAGTTAGATTTAAATTAAAATTCAACTTATTAATAGTTTTATTTAACACATTTTGTAAAGTTACAAGAATGATATCTTAGACTGCCCCTCCCAATGGAATTTATCAAATGGATGTGTAAATTGGCGCCCTAAATGAGAATATTTACATTGACCAACTTGAGGGCTTTGTGGAGCCCGACCAAGAGAACAAGTACAAGGCTTAAAGGTAAACAGTGACATGAGACACTAGACTCCTACGTTATTGAAAATGGATATTCTTTTTTGAGTAATCAGACGAAGATTATGAATGGTTATAATAATTTCAGTATGAAATGTGAATTAACACAACAAGCGATGGAATTTTGCATTATGTTGAAAAAGTAGTGAAAAAGAATTCACAATTACTATGATTGCAAGCACATTGATATAGCTACTTTTTTTTTTTTTTTTATTCTACCGTACATTTAATTCCCATTAAAAATGAAAATGAATTGATAAATCAAAATGATTAAACTAGCCTAATTTCAAAATGATTATGCAACGGTCATATGTGATTTAAGACTATAAATGGGTCAAATTTGGAACAATTAAGTAAATCCGAATTCAAATCCGATTACTCAATTTTGTGTTTGAATATGAGCCAAGATTTTATAAAATTTATATCCGTTAAATCATATCCAAATCTAATACATAATTTGAAATCTGATAAAAAAATTCGATCTCATAAAAAAATAATATTCGTTTATATTTAAATTCCTCAACTCTATTCTATCAATTATATTAGTTCATCAATTTTTTGATTTTTCTAATTCAATCCCTACAAATTTAAATTTTTTAATATTATATATAATTCTTAATTTAATAAAAAATATTATTAAAATTCGAATTCAAATTTTTAACAGATCAGATTGCTTAATTTCATATTCAATTCACTTATTTTATATTACGAATATTTATCATCGAATTTAATCTATCGAATATTTTAATCGAATTAGAATTCTAAAATTTAAATCGAATTCGGATCGAATTCGAATTAAAATATAATTCATTAACGACCTTAATTTAACTAATGGTTTCATTAATATTGATTATCTTATATCTTGTGATCATCTTCCCGAGCCACTCGCCAATGCCTTGACCAGAGAAAGAGTCTAGACCATATTGTTGGGATATCTCTAACATTTGACAGTATAAGATTAGATAGACAACCAAATTGTGGGTACCTATGTAAATATCAGGAAAATAAGACCCGGACAAGTGTAACTACTTGATTGCATACGGTTCCAATTGGTCTTATTCCCCGAGGACTTAGCTTAAAATGAGCCCGTTTCCAGAATCTGCTTCTATTGTTTTCCTCTAGGAGCTAACAGCTCAGCAAAAGGGAAAGATGGGTAAGCTCCTTGTGCACTTCATCCGTGCTGTATGTTTTACCATCTCTCATGGGTCTTTGGTGAGGATTTGCTTCATATAATCCTTTATATCTCGTAATTCATCCTCATTCCTTATGGTTTCTTGTGCTTTATACCTTGTTGAAATATATCCAAATGGTTCTCAACGTTCATTATTTTCATTGTCCCCTTTGTCTATACTATTCTTTTGACTATACATCTCTTTAGAGTTCACCTTATCAATCTGCTCCTTCAGTTTAAATAATTGGTTGGCGACTTGGTGTTTATTTTCAAAACTGGTGTGGTATGATTCAAATTAACCTTCTCTTAATTTGGGTTTCATTCTAATTTTGTCCATGAATAGATGAATGTATTGTATCCTTCATCTTGATGGCCACCATTTTGTACTAATCCTCCTAATTATTGTGTTAATTCCACTAGCTTAATGACCACTATGTGCATGTTTTGATCACACGTGGAGGTCTCTTCCATTCATTTTGATCATTCGTTGTTGGAAAGTTATCATGAACAAATCAGACTAGTTTATTGCAACTTCAAATCTTTGATCTGCTTTGTCCATGAAGTATATACAGAGGAATACAACACTATGCAATGCTTTACAAGGAACATAGTCAAATGTCCAGCCACACAATACAGCCAAAGAACAACGTGAAACAAAAGAAGAAGAAATAAATCCCAAAGATAATTTACAAAGAGAACTTCATCATAAGGCTTGACACTATCAACTTCAGTTTTCAGAAACAGCCTAGGAGTTTCTTTGGACCAGTGCCAGTGGCACGATACTTTGCCGCCATCTCCTCTGCCTTGAGCAGATCTTCACCACGTTTGGCTTCTATAAATGCCCTCTTTTCTTCTGCTTGCTTGTGAATCAATGCAACCTTGTTTTTCATTTTCTCAATATATTCTGCCTTCTGTTTCTCCAACTTCTCCTGACGAGATGCAATCGATATTAGCTATGGAGTTGATAAAGTATTGTATAGCAACTCATTGGTATACTTATTAGTAATACTAACTCTAAAATAATAGACTTCTCTTCTGCTTTGCGTTTTACTTTAAAAATAAAACAATAAAAATATAGAGGACTAGACTCAAAACCAGATACCTCAAAAGCACCTTTACATCCATAGCTTCACATCTTCCATAATCCCTTGCAACAGGTTTTGCAGGAGCCATGAAAGAGGTGAAAAAAGCTATGCACCTCAAATTGCTATGGTCAATAAAATTTTTTAGCAATTTGAATGTTGACTTCTTACCTCCATTTTTTTCAACTCAGCTTCTATAGTAGCCTTCTCACTGTTCTCCCATGCACCGATAGCGGATATTTTTTTCTGAGCTCTGTTCAATAATTTTAGATTATAAGCCTCAGTGTACTTCATCCATACTATTTACTGGACATAAGCTTATCCAAATCGAATTGTAATGAGACTTGGAAAGACAACTTCTCACTGCACTAGTTATTCGAAGAATTTGAATTTAATACATATAGCAAGTACCAAATTGAAGACATATATTCTGATTTCTAGAAGCATGAAAAGGAGAAAATGGTAGCAGAAATTTTGAAAGATTAATACACCTGATATTCTTGTTCTTATCAAGCAAAATTCCAACTATAATGACTCGATTTTGTCTTATGAGTTACTAACAATTCCTAACTTTCAATACACAATCTGCAAGAAACAATATAAGTTAGTGTTGATCTCAGCAAATGTGAAACATAATAATGAATTTATATAGTGGGCATAACAAAAAAGTCTTTTAAAGTCCTCGTCATGATTGTGACTCCAACTTTTTATAGAAACTTTGGCAACACAAGTTTTCTCATAAATGGCCAGAGCCTCTGTTCAATAAATCTCTTACTTGTTCTCTGCTTTTGACTTCTCACTTTCTTCCCATGCTCTGATTAGAGACAACTTCTTCTCCGTTGCAACTTTTGCAAGTACAGCATCTATAAAGAATATGGGCATTCTTTTAATCAACATTTGCACAAGCATGACAAACAAAAGGGATAGTATTATGTCCTTTATCATTACCTCTATTAATAGAACCTTCACTACTCTTCTTTTCCAGAGGTTCTGGAGCTTCTGCATTGATGACAAAGTGCCAGAGTTAAATGGTTAAGATTAGAGTGATAATATATACTCTTTGCTGGGGAGGGGGTTGGTGGAGGCAGGGGGCAAGCTTTTCCAATGCTTCACCAAATCCTTTCATAACAGATGCACTGGGGGAAGCACCTCAAAGCATGTAAAGCTACATAATTACACAGAGGTTAACACCAACTGTAACCAGCAGTAATAGATAAATTTGTGAAAACAGTAAATATTAAGACTTACACCCTCAATCTGCGGATGCATCAAGTTCAACATTAAGTCTTTCAACTTCAGGGGCAGTGAAGCATGTAAGATATGGGATCTGGCCTAGATTACCTATTTTTCTAGTCACACACTAAATTTTAATTATACCTTGTTTAACGAAATCAAACATCAATGATTAACAAAATTCCTCACCACCCCTCATGTTAAGATGATACCATTGGAAATCAGTATGTAACCGGTTGATAACTCTACCTTTACTCAAATTCCCTACTATATGTGCATTCTCTTGAGGATAGGAAGTCATTGAATGTGCAATGCACTGAACTTATATTGCATGTTCTTATACACAGAGTAGACCAAATTTCAGCATTCTTATTAACATTAATCTTCTGTAAAAAGCGTAGGCTATAATTCCAAACCCAACTAGGAATTCCGTCTAGCTCATAATCCCAAATCATCCCAATAGCCCATATGTTCTGGTTATACCTTATCATATCAAGGGGAACACTGGTGAGAGAAAGCTGAGATCTTCCACTACCTATTAATATTATTATGCAGTGCATCCTTTGTCCACTGCAGTGAATAGCTATACAGCTTATCCAATCCTCTAATCAACCTTGACAAGCAGATTTGCCTCCAAACACCCAAAGATTAATCGATGCGTAAGGATGCGTCAAACGTATTCTGTAGACTCATAAACTTGGATAAAAATAGTCGCCCCTTGTAAGCAAGAAACAGATAGCTCCAAGTACCAGCCATCGTCATAATCATAGGCACCCACATCAGTGTCCCAAAGACCATTTTGCAGATTGAGATTGCTACAACCTAAACCTCAAAATTCTTTGCTTCCCAACCCACTTCAATCCCCTAACCAAGAAGAAAAAAGAATAAAAGAAAACAAAAAAAGAGAAGGGAAAGGACTTCTTTATCAACAATTTTATATAAGAAAGCAACCCAGAAAAAACGAAGAAGAAATTATGCCATTTTCTCAAAGTAATTAATCCAGATATGCGTGGCAGTATGTTCTGTGCTTGAAGAGCTGTGAAACAACAAAATCAGCACAAATTTTGTCCATTAAAAAACAAAACAAGAAAAAAGTTAAGAATTCATGTCGAAAACTTCAAAGAAGTAAATCCTGGGTTTGGTGTATTTGAAGTGGGAAGGTGAAAGCAATAACAAATAAAGCAATCTAAGAAAAAAAAAAAAAAGGTTCAATTAAGCATCCGTTTAAATTAATTTTTTGAACAAATAGAAGAAGAAATTCAGAAAACAAAATTCATAGAACAGAACATATTAATAAAAGTAGTAATTAAAGGTAAAGAAATTCCATCTGTATATCAGAACACTTGGTTAAACAAGCGAAAACAATTAAGACATGAATTGAATCATCTATCTTCGTGAACTTTTCTGAACTGGATGACTCTAGATAACCCAACTAAACATCTACGGGTCCTCTTCTGCTTGAGAAACAGAAAGCAGGTAAAACTATAAAGCACATACATGCACGATCCAAATTAAACCACCGGGTAGATCTCTCATTAGATTCTCACTAAAAGAACAGAATTCAACAGAAAACACAGAGAAAGAGGTCTTACTTTCAGCTAGAACGACAGCTTTGGAGTCATCGGGCTTCTCCTCCGGAGGAGGAAGAGGAGGCGGAATCACAGATTTCTCCTCGGCTACGTCTTTAGGCGATTCTGCCGGCGCAGGTGCCGGTGCCCGAGCCGGAGCCGGGGGAGTTTCCGACGGCGCTTTGGATTCCACCTTCTTGGATGCCTCTTCGGCCATTCCTGAATTTGGGTAAAACTTTGTGAAAAAATTCCACCTAGAAGAGAGATATGATCTGGGCAGGCGAAGATACGAATAGGACTGTTCAAGGATGGTAACCGTCGCTAGAGAGAGTAGCTGGATTGGTAGGTAGGTGTGGTTTAAGAGCTGGCACATGAAGATACTATTTGTGTATTTATTTTATTATTGTTTATCGTATTAACAAAGCAGATTCCGTCATACTACGGTATCCGGTATCCAGAATTCTCCATATTAGTAAAATCAATTTCTTTTTTGCAATGGAATAAAATTTTTTTTTTATTTATTTTGGTGCAAAAGTAAAACTCACTTATTATCCACTATAAACTTTCTTCCTTTTCTCATAAGCGCTTTTGACAAGAAAAAGTTAAAGTTAGAAATTAAATAATTTGGGTGTTATCAAAAGTAATCTTGAAAAGGAGCCATTCTATACCTGTTAGATACCCTACCAATAGCTAGCGTCTCCTTATGCTCTCTTGCTTTCTTTTGTTGTATAAATATGTGTTGTTTTTTACATTAGTATTTTGACAATACGAGTGTTTCAACGAGATGTAGGAGAGCTGTCTGAAGAGAAGTTATACATATAAATGAGAGGCACATGAGAAGTAAAACAAAAAGAGATAGGAAAAAGGACTAACCAATTTTGAGTGGGCGAGGTTAAGCCAATTATAAGAAAAAAAATCTCTAATTTTAAATTCCACGATGGCCCCCTGGCACAATATAACATTTCAATTGGGTTCCTGTCACTAGAGTCAGTCACAGATTAACAATGGTTATTTATTTCAATAGAAACAAGACCTATAGAATAACCTTAATTTAAGGAGTTAATTTTTGAAATTGAAACATGAGGGGGCATGTTTGCAAATCATGTATAGTTGAAGGAAGGGGGTGTGGATCCTCCCCCCCCCCCCCCCCAAAATTTTAAACGAACTTTCAATTTTTCCGGTTAAATTCCTTATTTACTTATTTTTATTATGTTAGTTGGTGATAGCAATTAGAGGTGTTCAACAAACTGAACTAAACTGATTAGATCGTATAAATCGAACCAAATGGTATAGTATAGTTTAGTTTGAATTTGATATTAGACAAATCGTATAAACTGAACTAAATCGTATAGTTAACATATATACAAAACAAAAAATCTTATCTTTATATATATAGTATATTTTTATTATTTGATTATATATTTTTTTATTATCTTTTATATTTATATTTATTTTAATAATTAATTATTTTTTTAAGTATAATTTTTATTAATAATAATAAAATTTTGTAAAATAGTATAAATATATTTATTATAAAATATATAACTATTATAATTAATTAATAAATAATAAATTTATTAAATTAAATATGTTGATGAATAATTAATTTTTTAAAAAAAATTATTAAAATTTTTATAAAAATAATAAATTTAACTAATTTTATTTTATAAATTATAAATAATAATTTAAAATTAAACTAAATTATAAATTATAACTTAATTTAATTTATAAAATTATAAATTATAAAATATAATTTAATTTAAATTCAAACACTAAACTAAATCGAATCGAACAAACAGAATCCAATCGAACAAACGTATCCGATGACAATGGCATTTCTCTGTCAGTGCCAGATTCGTAATTTCATAGTGCTTAACTTATCATGGGTCCCACTGAAAAGTTGGTTGTTATCCGCGCATCAATCAATTTCAGATCGCCGTATCGTTGGCGATCCCATCATTTAGACGGTATGAACGAATCAGGCAGTGAACGAACTGTTAAGAGTAATTAGTCACTTCGGATGGTCCAATCATACTTTGCCAACTTGTGAACGGCTCAATTCACGCCCCAAAAAAGAAAAGATAATGTTGTTAGTTTTTCAAAGGCGGGACATGGTTTGTTGACAAATTTTTTTCTTATTAATTATTTCATAAATAATAATTTATAAAATATTTTAAATTATTTTAAATTCATGTTTATTTTAAAATATTTAAAAATGATAAACTAACTTATTTAAAACGGAATTCGTAATTTTATATTTTTTTAAAGAACAAAATATTATAAAACAGATGAAAATTTAAAAGAGTTAGGGTTGTGGGGCCTCTTCTTGTGTGATGAATAAATTATTAAAGCCTGGATTTAAACAAAAATGGAAATTAAAGCCTTAGCTGCCAGCCTGCCCCGGCGGCCCTGAACCCACGCCAAGATTACCGATATGGCGCATAGAAGTGGCCACGTGTTGGCTGTGATCGGCTTTTATGTATGTCCAATTTTTTTTTTTGAGAGAATTCTACGGGGCACCGGTGCCCGCCCTCTCACAAGGGGTGGGCCTCACTGTCGGGCCCTGTATTATGAGGGGTTCCATTGTCGGGCCCCCCTCATAGAAGTGGAGAGAATATCGATACCTTTTATTTTCGCACTGAATCGTATAATGGATCCGTTATCGTTTAATTAAATATTAAATATTAATTTTGATATTAATATAAAAAATATTAAAATTTTTAATTTATTAAGTAAAAGCTAGTTAATAGGTATTTTTATCATTATTTTTGAAAAAATTAATATTTATTATTATTAGATAAAACAATAAAAGAATGAATTATTTAATATTAGTGTAAGTATAAAATTATTTACATCAAAATTTATATAATTGATTTGATCAAAATTATTAAATAAGACTAATTAATATTTAAAAAATAATAATTTTAAATTAATATATTAATAAAAAATTTTAATTAATTGTATTCATTAAATTTGATCAAATAAATAGTATAAAATTTTATATAAACATTTTACCCTTACATATATATAAATTAGTCTCCTCTTAAATAATAAATATTAAACTATATTATAATTTTTCTTTTCAAATTGAACATATTGAGAGTGCCCTCCACTTTGAATTAAAGCTGAAGCGGTGCAAATGACCTGGAGAGCCCTTTCCAACGAGAGAGAGAGAGAGAGAGAGAGAGAGAGAGAGAGAGAGAGAGAGAGCACAACAACGGACAAAAGGATACCAGGGCAATGGCTTCAAACTTTGAAGAATTACTTATGGTGAATAATATACATAAATAATTAATTGGCACCTCCAAAATAATTTGAAAATTCATTTTTGAGCCTCACTATTAAAATATTAAAAATACTTTGAGAAATAAGAATGCTAGTTTTCTAAAAATCAACAAACAAATGTTTCAATTTGCCTGCTTTGTGTTAGCTATCAAATTTTCATAACTAAAAAAATTAATTGAGTTGAATTATATTTATTACTTAAGATATTAATGTTTGAATTTAGGAGTATTCATTAAACTAAATCAAACTAATTAAACCAAGTAAACTGAACTAAACTGTGATTTGGTTCAGTTTCATATATGTCTCGGTTTAATTTGGTTCGGTTTAAATTATTTTTTTCCTCATGATTTAGTTTATAGTTTGCTCATCAAACCGGGTGGAATTGCAAACTATATTTGAATTTACAGTTTAGTCATTCAACTTCTTTTTTTTTATTTTGGTCTTTTCACTTTTATTATTCTCTCGTTTCAGTTCCCAATCTCTTTTCCTTTTCTTTTTAATTATTTTTTATGGCATCCCAAGCTTTCGATTCTTTCAAATAACCCCTTAATTTGAGTTATTACATACTAAACCAATGTTTAATTTATTGAATTCTTGTGGTGGTCATTTTTTCCAATTATCAAATTTAATTGATTCTACTACAAATCTGCAATTATGTTGGATGAAGAGTTAGTTAAAAAGTTTGGTAGATCTAACTTATAAACTGTGGTTTTAAATTGAACCTAAATTGCAAACCAGGGTTTGGTTTGCTTCGATTTTTGAGAGTTTATGATTTAGTTTGGTTTCTAATAATCACAAATCGTGAGCTATGGTTTAGTTTGAGATTAAGCCTCAAATCGAACCGAACCAAACCACGAACACCCATACTTGAGCCGAATGTGCAAGGTGAAAAAATAAATAGATAATACAAAAAGGTCATAAATAATAATTTTATTAGATTAAATATAAGTAATACAAAATACAAAGAGTATTAATATTAAAATAAAATGTTATAAAATAATATTGAAGTTCATGTTAAAAACTTGAATAAAGAACAAAAAATTTGAGATAATGATCAAACTCTAAACTCTTTAATTGGACCTGTCAATTGATTTAATAACTCAGATTTCAATTCTAGAATTTGATTGGGAACATTTTAATTATGTAGGGATTAAATTGAAAGGAAATAGAAATCTCAAGGAAACAAATGAATGGCCGAGGGAACTATAAGGGCTAAAATTTAAAGAGATGGATATTAAAGGACCAAATTGCAAATTCTACATCTTCGATCTACCAAAAAGTCTTAACCCATTTGTTTCTACAATGCCAATCTCTCTTCTCCCTATAGCTGCTGACCAAGCTTCCTCCTCTAGTTAGTAGCCATGATTGGCATCCTAATTAGTGTACTACCATAACCAGTCTAGTCTTGCCAACGAATGTATTGATCCTTAGTCGCTTTTGGTCTTAAGTCGAACAACCATTATCATTGTTGCCTTGTCAGTCGCCACTAACTTTCTCCTCTTTCTTTTTTTTTCCTTTTCTTTTTTGATCAGACCAGTATGGGTTCTTTGGTCTACCAGCATTCTTCTAGTTCAACCGGTGCTAGTTTTTCCCCAAATACATGGCCAGCTATCTCTATTTTAAAAATTGACAACTGCACATTGAGCTTCAACAACTAATTATTCATTGCGGTCCTATCTCCCTATGACTATCCGCAACTGATGCTTTCCTCCAAGCAAACCAAATGAATATAGAAAATATTTGGGGATATTTTAGTAATATTGACAATATAAGGACTTAATTGATAAATATAGAAAATTTGGGAGTCTAATTAAAAGATTAGAGGGCCCAATTGATGAAATAAAAACTGTGTAGCTTGAATAGAAATAATTAGAATTTTCAGTAACCAAATCAAATGAAATCAGAAGATAAAGGACCTAACAACAAAATCCC